GGCAGGAACTGATGTCAGGCGGGGCGGTGCCAAGGCCGGCGGCCGCGGCTGGGACGCCCGCGTTGTGCCCGCACTCAGGGGACTTGGGGACCTCGAGACCCCTTCAACTCACGACCTCGGTCCCCACCCCCGCCAGCCGGGACCCTGGAGCCTCCCTGCGGCCCTCCGGCCCTCCTCTGACCAGACACTCGGTTTCCCGGCCCTCCTCAAACCAGAGACCTCGGAGAACCCTTCAGCTCACAGACCGTGGCCCTCAACCCAGAGAACCGGCTGGAGGCCCTCCTAAACCCGTAGACCCTGGCTTCCCGGTCCTCCTCAGTTCAGACACCTCGGAGACTCCCTCAGTCCACAGACTCTAGGCCCAAAGCCCAGAGACCCCCAGGCCATACCAGCTCAGAGATTCCCTTAGAATCCCAGCTCCCCAGTTTCATCAGCCCAGAGATCTAGGCCCCGAAGCCTTCACCGATCTAGAGATCCAGAACCTGGCCTTTTCCTGCCCAAAGAACCGGGCCTTGGCCTTTAGCAGCCCAGAGACCCTAGCACCCCCACCCAGCCCTGCCTACAGACTCCAACCTTCCAGCTTTCCCTGGCCTCCCTGACCCTCGCCAGCCCCTCCACTCAATTCCTCACTCTCATTGCCCAGTCCTAAACGTTTAGGCCACCTCAGGTCCTCGGTGTCCCTCTCCACCTCCAAAACACACCCTCTTCGCTTCAGCCCTCAGTCCAAACACCACTTCCTACTCTTGACTTTATCCCACTTCAGTTTCACATATCCTGGGGTCCTCAACTCCCTCAGCCCTTGAAATCACCATTACAACTCCCCTTATTTTCAAACTCACCTCTCCCCAAATTCATCATCTCTTAAGTCCCCTACATTTGGAGTTTTCAGTCTCCTACCTGGCTTACTTATTTGCTCCCCAAATAAATATATTCCTGACACACACTTTAGTCCTCCGTTTTTATTCTTAGGCACCCCAACTCTCAACTTTAACTCCCCATGTCTTCCCTCTTCTCTGCTCAGGCTACCCCAACCCTGAGCCTTCCAGACCCAGTCACACTGCATCTGAAAAACACTGATTCTACAGCTCATCCAAGATGGACCCCCTACACACACACCTGAAAGATTCCTCCCCATCCCTCAGTTTCCCAAGGAGAGATCCAAGATGGTGCTAGTTATTTTTGTTTTGTTTTTATGTGACTGGATAAGGGGACAAAATAACCTCAGGAAAAGGAAAGAGAACAATTATTTGAAAAGCTGAGATTGATGCATTCCGTTACCACCTCAGGACCTAGGGCAAGAATTCTTAATAATAATGATGACAATAATAAGTGTTGAGTATTAACTATGTGCCACACACTGACCTAAATGCTTTACATATGTTCATCTCATGTAATCCTTACACAACTATTCTTGTACAAATGAAGAAACTGAGGGATCAGGGGGTGTTAAATCATTGGCCTAAAATCATACAAGCCAGCTTGAATGACTAGTCTAATAGCTTTGGTGCACTTCTTCCCACTCCACCCAAGCCAGTGTGCCTGCAGGCCCCAACCTGCCTGACATGGCTGTAGCTCATGAGAATCCATTCTGCCCAAATCTGAACCAAAGAACTTTGTGATCCTTCCCTGCTGTTGAGTAGCAAGCCATCTTGTGCTGCGCACCATCTTCGTACAAATGGCTGTTCATGACTTAGGCATATGGCAGGTTCAACAGGTGTTGTTATTGCTTGGCTGTCTACCTGGCTGTCTACCTGGTCTGTGGTGTAAGAAGACGTAGTATCTCTGCTATATTGTTTTCAGTTTCATCCATTGGGGGATGGTCACATTCAACTTTTTACAATATTCAGGAGGAACATACAGTTTCACTGCCTATCAAATTTCTAAGGTTTGCATAGGTATGCGAGTGCGTGGGATAGGAATGTTTTAGTTTTAATGAGACTTCTTGCAGAGGAGGATACAGGGCCAAGTGTGTGTGTTCATGTGCAGATAATTGCACCATGCCCAGAGCTCAAATATGGAATCTATCCTGCCTGTCAAAAACAGTCACCCTGAAAAAAATACAAAAAGAAAAAAACAGGAAGTCTATCAATCCTGTTACTGGGAGTCATTTAAATTCACAATTGAAGCTCATTTATTTATTGCACAAGACTGCTGATCACGTGGAAAGTGCATGAGACTCTGAGTCAAAAGGCATAAAGAGTCAAAAGCCTCAACTGATTCATGCTAGGGCCTTAGGCAAGTCACTCTGCCTTAGTTTCCAAATCAATGACACAGGTTTTGTTCTTGGTTTTTGTTTTCCCCCCAGTATTGTCCTCACCTAAGTCTCATCCTGCTAAACTCCAGCCAATGAGGGAAGAAGTTGGAAAGGAAGACAAGATCAGAGAAAGGGGCAACAAATCTCCTTTAGACTTCTTTCCAAAAATTGTACACTGCCTCAGAGAAGAAGAAGGTAGGGAAAAATTCTGGTGGCATCATCCTGCCATGCCCCTAAAAAGTCATTGGAGAGGATTGTAAAAAAAAAAGTGGGACATGGTTTAGGGACTAATATCCTCCCTCCTCCACCCCAACTGAAGGAAAATGTATTTCTGTTTCCAGAGGAGGGGGTAAATATCTCATTGGCCATCATTGTGAAGCTGTTCCCCATTTGAAGAGGTGATGATAGAAGGACTGGTTGTACAGAACAGTAACAGCCCAGGTTATCACACCTTAACTCCAGCACCTAGAAGTGCAGATAATCTACAATTCTAGGACAGGGTAAACTAGAACAAGGCAGCTTTAATCTAGTTGATTTTGTTTTAAAGTGTTGAACATCCAGTTCCTTCCTCATTACTGTCTGGTCAGCAAGCTGGATTAGGGAAATTTGGGGTATAGTTCATCCTCCTAATTTAAAAGTCTCCAACGGCTTCCTGTCATTGCATTTGGAATAAAATCCATACTCTTTTTTTCTGGCCTACAAGACCATAGCTGATCTACCCAGTCTCCCTCTCTGACTCATCTTCTAGTCTCTCTGCTGGGTGTGTGCCAGTCCACACCAGCTTTGTTCACATCTGAGGACCTTTGTTGGGAATGCTCGTCTTCAGTGTGCCTGAAACCTCTAACTGTTCGCCAAAATCTACTCTCTCTTTCCACAGTGCTAGACTATACTTCCCAGCCTCCTTTGCAGTAGGCATGGCTATATGATTGAGTTCTCTCCATGGTACATGAACAGAAGTGAAGTTATTCATTTCCAGGCTGGGCTTCTAAGCAAGTGGGTATTTCTTCTCTATGTTTCTTCTTCCACCAACTGGGAAGAAGCAAAGAGGATGTCAGAGTTACAAGCCATAAAGAGCCCGGTTCCCTGAATCACTGCACAGAAGAGATGCCTGTCAAGTAGGAACACCTGCCTTGGACTATAAGCTAGGTACGATATCAACTTTTGTTGTAATAAACGATTGACATTTTGGGGGCTCTTTTTTCTATCAGCCTAGCCTAACCTAATACACCCCAAATGTCCACCTGGAAGGAGCTTTCTTGTCATTCAGGTCTCAGTTTAAATGTTACCTTCCCAGAAAGACCTGTCTCCATGATTACTCAACATTAAGTAGCCACTAGTCCCTTCCAGCATGTCAATCTTCTAAATTTTCATCATAGAACTTACCACTGCGTGGCATTTTCTTGTTTGTTGTCACTCTCCAAAAAGACTGCTATAATGTAAGCTCCATGGGAATAGACATCTTTGCCAGCAGTGTCTGGCACAGAGTACTCTATGTTTATTGAATGAATACCTTCAAATTAATTTTTAACTCAGTTGGGATTCAGAGAATTTTTTAGCTGGCCCTAGAAGTAAAAGGCAGGAGAAAGATGTGGCAGTCTGCTTTTGTAAATATTCACAGCCTTGGAAACCCTATGGGGAAGTTCTACTCTCTCCTATAGGGTGGCTATGAGTCAGAATCGACTCCAGGGTGATGGGTTTTGGGTTTGGTTTAGAAGTAAAAGGACAACATAGATATAAGGCTACTTCTCTTTACATCGGATTTGGGCCTTTCCATTCTAGGGAGATAATGGAAGAGGAATTGTGGTTAAAGTCTGTAGAACCATTAGCAGAGAGGTGCTGTTTGCCGATATCCCAAATTAGCCTTATATGTGAGTCTAATAAAAAGTACTACTTCACATAGAAGCCTAAAACTTTTTTTAGAATGTCATCTGTCTTTTAAAATCTACATTAAACTCCAAGTCAACAGTCATCCTGGGCTAGAATCTCTAAGCCTGCAAACCAACTTCAGTGACCTGGCTGGGTTTCAGGCACTGTTCTGCCACTAACTGTGTCACCCCACTTATCGCAAAACCCCATAGGGCCTCTGAGATGAAGAAACTGAGGCAGCATAATGGTGTCCATGGATTCATTCATTCAAAACATATCTGAAAGAGTCTCTTCAACAAACGGTGCTGGCAAAACTGAATTTCCACATGCAGAAAAATGAAGCAGGATCCATACCTCACACCATACACAAAAACTAGTTTAAAATGGATCAAGGACCTAAATGTTAAAGCTAAAACCATAAAGTTCTTGGAAGAAAACATAGGAGTGAAACTATGGGACCTAGTTTTTCTTTTTTTTTTTTGGAAAAGTCGTCTCTGGAAGTTCACATCATAAATCTGTCCTCATTCTTTTTTTTTCTTCAATGATTATAAATTTCTTTTTTTAAATTTTTTTTTATTGTACTTTAGATGAAGGTTTACACAGCAAACTAGTTTCTCATTAAACAATTAATACACATATTGTTTTGTGACATTGGTTGCCGATCCCATGACATGTCAATACTCCCCCTTCTCAACCTTGGGTTCCCCATTACCAGCTTTCCTGTCCACTCCTGCCTTCTCGTCCTTGCC